TTTTTTAAGGCAGGATTTCACTGTCACCCAGGCTGCCATGCAGTGGTATCATCTTGGCTCACTGCTACCTCAACCTCCTGGGCTCAAGTGATCCTCCCACCTCAGCTTCCTAAGTAGCTGGGACTACAGGTACATGCCACAACACCTGGCTACTTTTTTGTATTTTTGGTAGAGATGGGGCTTTGCCATGTTATCCAGGCTGGTCTTGAACTCCTGAGCCCAAATGATCCACCCATCTTGGCCTTCCAAAGTGCTGGGATTACAAGTGTGAGATACCATGCCCAGCCCTATTTGTATCTTTGATCTAAGTATATCTCTTGCAGACAGCATACAGTTGGATCATGTTTTTTTAAAAAAAAATCCATTCTCTGCCTTTTGATTAGAGTGCTTAATCCACTTAAATTAATGTAATACCGGCAAAGTAGAATTTACATTTTCCATATTGCCATGCAATTACTATATTTCTAATGTCTTTATTATTCTCCTGTTCCTCCATTACCTTTTGTATCAGATATTATCTAGTATGCCATTTAAATTCCCTTATTAAAACAATAGTTTCTGTTACTATTTTCTAAAATTACTTTCTTAGTGATTGCTCTGAGGATTATAATTAACATCTCATAAAAATCAATTTTGGATTACTAGCAACTTACCGTCAATAGTATACAAAAGTTTTGCTCCTATATAGGTCTATTTCCTTCCTCCTCCTTTGTGCTGCATTGTCACTCAAATTACATCTTTACATACTGTATGTCCATAAAAGAAACTCTATAATTAGCTGTTTATGCTGTTGTATTTTAAATTAGATAGAAGAAAAAGAGAGTTACAATCAAAAACCAATTTATATTGTATGTTATATTTACTTACATAGTTACCTTCACTAGTGCTCTTTGTTTATTTTTTTCATGTAGACTCAAGTTACTCTCTGATGTCTTTATTTCAGCCTTAAGGATTGCCTTTAGAATTTCTTGTAGGTCTTCTACCAATGAATTTTCTCATTAAAAGAAAAAAAATCTAGGAATGTATACATTTCTCCCTTTTTCAAAGGATAGTTTTGCTCAATATAAAATTTTTGGTTGATAGGCTTTTTCTTTTGGTACTTTGAGCCTCCATGGTTTCTGATGAAAAACCGGCTGCTAATCTTATTGAATACTTTTTTTTTTTTTTTTT